ATCGGAGGTGCTGGAAGAGCTGGCATCGGGGGCGGCGACAGGTCGCTGCTCTAGCTGCCGGAGGCGGCCGTGGACTTAAGTCAGCGTGTCGTCGAGGCTGTGGATGTCCTCCTGCTGTGTAATGCATGTTGCCAGGAGGTCCGTGAGATGGGAGAGGAGTAGAGCGATCTCGTTTTCACTGTCTTCCATCTTGCCACTCTCGGCCTCCGTCCGCCAATACGCTGCCATTGTGAGCAAAGCTTGCTCTCCGCTGAATATCTTCTCGCGACATTGGACTCATTCTTCATCGGCAGCCTTTGCTGCTGCCTCGTCGTGCTGGCGCTGCTGTTCAATTGCCAACAGACGTGCCTTCTCGGCGTCCTCTGCCTTCTTCTTTGGTGCGGCTGCTACTGCATCCGACTGTTTCTTAGCTTCGGTAATCAGAAGCAGCATCCGGGCCTGATAGGCCTCGTCCGTTTCTCGGGACTTCTGATCCATGACAGCTGTTTGTGAGCGCAAAAGCATAGACCAGGCCGGGGGCCTGCTGACGTGGTACTGCTGTCGGCTGACGTGTCCTGCTGACGCAGTCTGCTGACGTAGCAACTTACCAATGCCGCCGCAGGGGGTACCCGGAGACAGATAGAGAAGGTAAGACCAGAGGGGGCAACAACATAGGTGGGGAGGGGTGGGTGGGATTAATCGCCCAGATAAGGAGCCACTAATCAAAAAAAGAAAAGTTTTGAACTCTGCAAAAAAAAATCGAGAAAAAGAAAAAATACTCGTTTGCAAGTTCGGTAGGTTTCCCAAATCCCTTGGAGTGCGAAAGTATCAATGAGAAAACATTTTCGTTCAAACTGCCAATGACTATCAGGTAGTGAAAATCATAGAACTGTGGAAAAAAAAAAAATTCCGAAAAGAAATAACAAGTATTCGGATTTACTCAGATGAGAGTATTCGCAGTTTGGAAAATGGTACTGCAAGAGGGATTTCCCGTACCGTTTTCTGAAAAACGACTTTCGGATAAAAATATTCCGAATTTCCAAATAACGGGAAATTGCAAAAGGAGATCGAAATTTTCAAGAGAAAGATATTCCGGATTTCCAACAACGAAATTTCGGATTTTCAGAAGAAAAACGAAAAAGAAAATTTCAGATGTTGCGCTATTGCGATTTTCCACAACAGAAATAGCGAGAAAACGAAATCCAAGAAAAGAAAAAAAAAAATCGATTTTCGGCAGTGAGGTCAAAATCGTGATTTGGCCCTTTTTCGGGGGCTAACTAGTGTGCTCTAAATTCCTCTAATCAATCAATCAAGACTAATCAGCTACCTAGTCCCCGCACACGTGTCAGATCAGGTTGTCCTGATTCACGTGCGGTGTTCCGATACCAACTGTTACATGCCCAGTTGGGCGATGTACATATAAACCGAGGATCCGCAATGTGATAAAAAGGACTGAATGGACAATGCAGTGCAAGTGGAATCTCAACAAGCAATGTGCATTCCGATACATACAAAATGGTGCTTTACAGCGCAGGGAAGACTTTGGATACAAGTCCTGACCTGACCGGGACTGACCCCTTTCACATAGTACAAGATAGCGAAGCAGAATGCTAGAATACTAATGACTAGCCCAATCAATGTTTCAACGCAGACCAAACATACATCATGCTCATCACAAGGTGTGAAGGGGCCTGGCGCTACACACAGGAAACGGCGCCAGGTCCAGACATACACAGACGAAGAGGAGGGGATCAGACGAAGAAGAGGAAGGGGAAGATGGGAAAGTCGTCAACACCAAGTCTCGTTTCAAGTCCCAAATAATCCCTCTTCGATATGTCTGAAGTCCAATGTCGAGTCTGGGTCCAAATGTCACCAAGCTCTCTCTCTCTCTCTCATAGTCTGCTGATGCAGTGAAGTCAGATAGCGAGAGGGTGAGAAGGAGATGGTGGACTGAGAAGAGGAAGAAGAAGAACTCTCTCTCTCATGTGCCAGGTACTAACCTGTGAAGATGGCGCTGTGCTGCAACCTCGAAGACGAAGCTGGAGCAATGGCGCTGCAGGTAAGTCCCTCTGGCCTCCGCCCAATCCCTCTCTCTCTAGTACTACTCTAGCTGCTATGGCGCCCAGCGCTGAAAACTACAGCTAACGCTACTAGCGCCCAGCGCTGAAGACTACTGCTAACGCTGCTACTACTCCTGCAGCACTCCTCCAGAGTGCTGCTGCCGAATCCTGAAGACTATAGGCCCATGCTTGGAAAGACTTGAACTCTCAACCCCCAAATCCGTAGTTTGGTGCTCTATCCAATTGAGCTACAAGCACATTCATTTGTCCCTTTGGTCTAGGGGTATAGGACATCGCTTTTTCATGGCGAAGACACGGGTTCAAATCCCGTAAGGGATATATACGATATGATATCTATCATATCAAAGGGCCAGGTCAGGCGGGTCACACTACCGAAGTTCCTTTTCATATGTGGGCACCTGATGTATACGAGGGTTCTCCTACTTTTGTCACAGCTTTCTTTTCTATAACACCTAAGATTGCTGTTCTTGCAAATATGTTACGTGTGTTTCTTTTTAGTTTTTATGATCCAACATGGCAAACAATCTTCTTTTTTTGCAGTATTGCTTCCATGATATTAGGAGCATTAGCCACAATGGCTCAAAACAAAGTCAAAAAACTTTTAGCTTATAGTTCTATTGGCCATGTAGGTTACCTTTTAATTGGTTTTTCATGTGGAATTATCGAAGGTATACAGTCTTTTCTGACTGCCTCCTGCCTTCCCGTGAAGTGCAGGGGAAGTCCCTATGTACTACCTCGGCCTGCCTCCTGACTGCCTCCGACTGCCTGCAGTTGCGGGGCGGGCAGTCCAGGAGGCTGCTCTTGCCAATGCCAAACTGAGCCAGGGTCTGGCGCTGCAGCCGTCGTGGGAACAGGCCAAAAATAGCCTGTTCCTAAAACCCTGGTTTGGTGCCTGAGTTTCAGGGCAGGTAGGTCTGATGAAAGACCGAAAATGGCCCTTCATTTCAGGCTAAAAAGGCTACTGCCATTTTTAGTCTGAAACGACACAGGGTCTGTAGGCCCCTGTTTTCCAGGCTTTCGAGCTGAACAGACACGGGGCCTGTAGGCCCTGGTTTTCAGGCTTTCAGCCTGAGGGATGCAGGGCCTGGAAAATGGCCCTCGTGTGCAGGTGCAGCATGTAACACCAGGAGTCCAAAAGACAGGCCCGACGACCAAAGCAGCAGTAGACCATGGGAAAGGGTACTGGGACACACACTTTGCAACAACAGGTACTGGGCAGGAGTCCCAGGCACTTGGAGGCCGAAAGCAGACCTTGCCAGACCAGTCCAGCACTATAAAGGACTGGCCAGCCTCCCCATTCGGCAGATACTCATTCGCATGAGAGTGTGGAAGTGCTGAAGGCACTTGTGCGCCAGATGTGATTGAGCAGCGCTGGGCTTGAGAGCTACGCTGAAGGAAGAGAGAGTTGGGCGCTGGCTGAAAGGAAGGCAGCCATAGCTGCGCCACTGCTAGTTAGTGTTAGTAGTAAGAATAGTCAGTAGAGAGGACCAGTGAGTAGTATTCAGAGTAAATCCTTGTGTGATAGGGAGTGTGCATGCATGGTGAGTGTGAGTAGACCAGGACCATAGTCAGATAGAGAGAGAAGAGAGACCAGGAAAGGAAGAGAGAGAAGAGAGCTATGGTGCGACTCACCTGTGGAGCGCCATTCTGGTGATAGGCTGCTGGCGCTGTTGAGCGCTAGGCCTGGAATTCTTGCTGGATGAAGAAGACTTATGAATTATGTTGGGCGCTATACATTTTGAACTCATGATTCTCTTTCTTTGATCTGGCTACTATAATTGAGTTGAACTTCCTGGTTTCCACTCATCTTCCTTTGAACTTCGTGTGAGTCATTGCAATCCGTGTGATCTGTGTTACATACATGCTATCTGGTACACTCCAGCAAGTGACGAAAGGACAGGTTCCTTGCACTACTTTCCCCTAAATGGCATGCAGGCGGGTGTCCCGAAATTACCATCCCAGTCTGCCATTGCATGTCGCAAGAAACTTTTCCATTGCGTTGCATGATGCAGGGGGACATACTCTTAAGAATAACGCAGCCCTAGCATCACCCAAGAGGGCGTGGCAAACAAACAATCATTTTTTGCGTCGAACAACACGATGGCGCCACGAGATTCCATTCCCAGATGACTAAACTCTGGAGTTCATAACTCCCATGCTGATCAACTCCAAATCTTGCACGTCTAATAGGGCCTCATGGACAGTGCTGATCTGCCGTTAATCACACTTCCCAACCAGCCGACACTGATTGGCACTGCCTGACAACGCGGATGCCATCCGACAATAAAGAAATGCGTAGGCAGGATCTGGAGTTGATTTCACAGTCTCGGGTGAGCACTGCTCGCAGTGTTAGCTGTGATCCAGTCACACACACACAGGCAAATTCTCACGCAAAGACAATCTCCAATCTCTCTCCCTCACACACACACACACACACACACACACACACACACACACACACACACACACCTGATGAGTCCATGAAAGTTCGACAAAACAGTCTGGCACAGTCATGCTATTTTTGTGGAGTTGTATTGCGAACATGACAACACACATAAACACAGCACTTTGCATCACACAGGAACAAAGTAACATGTACCACTGCGTAATATGACAGGGACACATCGAACACACACACACACACACACACACACACACACACACACACACACACACACACACACACACACACACACACACACACACCGGATGAGTCCGTGAAAGTTCGACAAAACAGTCTGGCACAGTCATGCTTTTTTTGTGGAGTTGTGTTGCGAACATGACAACACACATTGACACAGCACTTCGTATCACGGAGGAACAAAGTAACATGTAGCACTCCGTAATATGACGGGAACACATCGTATGTACGACGTAGCATCTAGTGGCATTGAGCGTACAAGCGAAAGGGAGGATAACAGATGGTAAGCATAAGCATACCTTTCTGGGCACTGTTTGATTAGTTGCCTGCATAGACGGTCTTCTATGCTACCTGATGCTTCAAACTCTCCGCTACGAATTCCCGCTGACAGCTGTGTAGGTGCCAGTGCACCCCAAACGACACCAACAGAGGCATGGAAATCCAAATGAAGTCAAAGACTCTGCTACTTTATGCATCAAGTCCATTGTCCAGAAATCCCACACGGCGAGCCGTGCCGTGATTAGCCTTCGATCATTGAAAAATAAAACGTTGAAAAAACATCATACAAGCGCAGCCGTGCCACAACTTATAAGTACACTGAAATTGGCCCCAAATGACACCAAACAGAGACATGGAAATCCAAATCAAGTCAACGACTCTTCAACTTCATGCATCAAGTCCATTGTCCGGAAAGACTAAACAGTGAGCTGTGATTAGCCTGCGATCATTAAAAAATAAAAAAGTTGAGATAACGTAATACAAGCGCAGCCATACCACAACTTATAAGTACCGACATTTGAAACAGTTCATTGTGGCTCATGCTTGGCCATCAATGTGGCAACTGCTTTTCGCCTCACAATTGAGCATTTGACTTGAGTTTATTGTTTCGTTTGTCTCTTCGTTTGTTCCTTTGTTTGCTTGATTTTGCATTTGTTTCTTCCTTAATTTGCTTGTTTATTCCTTGTCTGCCATAGTGGTCGCAACACATGTAATGAGTCTATCTTTCGTTTGTCTGTTCGTTTGTT